TTTATTCATTCTGGCCATTCACTAGACTTCAGTTGCTTCTTAGAGTCCCACTTAAGATGGTTTTTATTAAAGTTTTGGTAACTACTCAGAAAGGAATAATAGAATACATTTGGGAAAATATGCTTTCAATGAAAGATCTTGGGCTGACTGTCTGGGTGACTGCTTCTCCATTTCTCCCACACATACCCAGAATGTTACAGGTAATAACAATTTTAATAACAAATTTAAAAATATAAGTGAATAGAAGTGGAAATAATGTGTACCTCTTTTTTTGATCTTCATTAAACATGAATGAGCTAGTTTTTTTTTTTTTAAAGTTTACCAAGTCATGGTAAATCTTTTTTTTTTTTTTAAACATTTATTTATTTATACAAGCACTGGGTACAGTCAGAAGCGCGGGAGGGTGAGAGAATTCACCAGAGCCAGAGTGGGGAGCAGAGCAGGCAGAAGGACCAAAGTACACTGCTGAGGGGAGCAGCAGGCGACAGGAGAGGTCTGCGCGCCACGTGGGACCCTCACCTGGTGGCCGGGGATCGAACCGGCGCTGAGGAGGCTGCGGGAAGCTTCGCAACCCAGCGCTCAACCACCGCGCCACCGGGGAGGCCCATGAATGAGCTAGTTTTAGTTAAATGAAATAATTTCTTGTTTATATAAGTAACCACATGTTATGGTTGAATTGTAAACTCTGGAAAAAGGGGGTTGTGATGTAACTTCTAACAAAGTAATAGTTACATCACATGAAATGACTACTGATAGTATCTTAATAGTATAAAAACTATAAAATCTTATTAAAATTAAAATGCCTAAATTATACTCATCTACTAGGAAACAAATAGTTTTAATCTTTTTCATAGTTTCTCCATGTGATGTTAATGCTGTGTACATTAGTATTGATGTTTGAATTTAATATTACTTTCTCTAGAATTAAAATTGCTAACACCATAGCTTTGGTAATGCACATTTGAATATTTAATTGTGTTGCTATAAACAGCTTCTCTAATGCTACATTTTCATTGAATATGATGGGCCTTCTGTCAGTGCTGGCATTTCAGCAATCTTGCTCCTTTCCTGATGTATGTACGTGAAGTGTTCATTCCTGTGATTTCCCCAAAGTTTTACTTGGGAAGCAACATGATTTGAAAGATGTTTTCTGTTGTATGTTGCTCAAGTCAAGCTTTGCTTTGAATCAAGCCAAATGATGAAAACATAGTCCAGTTTTTTTTTCCCAGCAGAATGCAATTACCTCTAAGGCTTATAGTAAAAAGACTAACTAATTGAGAACACTTGTCTTTGTTTTCAGTTAGCAAAGATTCTTAAGAATGTCCACTTTTTAAATTAAAAAAGGTGAGTTTATTTTTAATGAACTAAGATTTGGTAGCGCTGAAAATTAAAGCATGTACAGGTTATCCTCTTCCTCAAGGGGACATATACTACTGCTGTGCTCGTGTGAAGTAATAATGAGATACCATAAGCAAACAGTAGATGATTCATGTCAGATGGTTCTTCAATAACGTTGCGTGGGGGGGGGGGATGCAGCTGATGTATGGGATATTGAAGGCAGATTAAGTTGTTAATGTATATTAGTATATTCTTAATTTCCTTTTAATTGAAAAAGACATATTGACTTTAATTAGAACCATTTCACAGGAACTGTCAATTAGCACATGTCAAACTAGTTAATTCAGAACAGAATTCTTTTAATTAGGGTCTGCTTTCCTTTAACTATGGGGCCAATGAAATCAGCCTTTCCTTATCTAGATTTTAAATGTCTGTAAGACATATAATACAAATGTAGACTCTTATCTATTATTAGAAGCCCATATGGATAACATTAAAATGATGATGCTGGCATTGTTCATGCAGCACAAATCAGAGTCCCTTTATGACTGTTAGAAAAAAAATGGCTTTGAACAAAGACTATTTTAAATACCAGATTTATCCTACTTTAAAGAGACTACAAAATTTATGACATGCATGTTCACATTTAAAGTATTATTTAATACGTCTGCTCAAATAAATGGGCCTATTCAAACGTTTTGTGTGTTCTATCAGCCGAAGACACATAAAACATTGTCAAGCCATACAGCAACATTTTTCCCTTAAATGAACTGTAATCAAAAAGGGAAAACAGACTGAATGATTTTTTTTTTGCACAACATAAAAATAGCATTGTTAACTTTCATTGCATCCAAAGATTTAATACCAAGAGTTGATACAGTGACTAAACTACAAGTGGTAAGCTAATGTGATCTTAGTAATCAGACGGTGTGAAATGTGAAACTTGGCTCTTTCTTAATGTAATGGTGTGGAATTATAGCATTTTAGTTACAGTTGACATGAGGATGGACTCACATAGTGAGCTTGGTGGGGCAGGGTTGTACAAAATAGGGTATGCTCAAAGTTTAAATATTTTAAGTGATATTTAAAGGGACAGTTAAGGTGAAATCCAGTTTAGTTTATCATCTGAGGTCTAGGTACTATTTTACTGAGTTGTATAACAAACAAGGGTTATAGAAATTAGTAGAAATAATATTTAATAAGCTAAAACTTGGATTGCACAAAGAATTTTCTTGTAAGATATTTTATGTAGATTCATACTTGCTCATCTTGTAGTTACTTTTAACTTAATGTAACAGTATTGTTCTTTTCTAAAGTGTGGTATACTATATCAGTGGCTGCATTTGTGCAAGTTAAATTAAGTGAAGAATTGCAGTAATCTTTGAATTTTGTTTAACACAGGCAAAACAAACAGATGAGAAAAGCTCAACTGAAAAACCTCTTTCTTTTTCTTCCAGAGTTAAATTTCCTCTTCTGAACTATTCCTAGAGTTGCCGTAAGCGCTCTACTCTGTGTTTGAGAGGCAGTTTATGTTCAGCATGTCCATATTTTGTTTGGATCTGTAGTTTTAAACTCATTTGGTATCATACAGTCTTTTGAGACTGTAATGAAAGATTCTAATCCCTTTTCCAGAAAAATCCATATAGGTACACATGCACTAAAATTTCAGGATGGGAAATCTCTTTTTAAAAAATTTATTTATTTATGCATACAAGAGCTGGGGTGCAGGCCAGAGATGCGGGAGGTGAGAGGATTCATCATAGACAGAGTGGGGAACCGAACAGGCAGATTGACCGAAGTACACTGCTGAGGGGAGCAGCAGGTGAGTCAGGAGAGGTCTGCTGCGCCATGTGGGTTGTTCCCTGGCCTGCCAGGGATCGAACTGGTGCTGCAGATTGCTTCATAGTGCCGTGCTTAACCCTGTGCGCCACCAGGGAGACAGGATGGGAAATCTTAACTTCTGAAAATATCTGTCACTTTGTGACAGCATGGATGGAACTTGAGGTGATTATGTTAAGCATGATAAACCAGAATGTGAAAGACAAGTACCGCATGGTTTCCTCTCATATGTGGACTCTAAATAAACAAAGCAAATCAACTAACAAAGGCAACAAAAATATCTCATAGACTGTGTGAAAATATGATGCTTGGGAGGAAAGGATAGAGGGATCATTTTGATAGTGTCGATGGCACTGAAGCTTTTGTGATGGGTGTTGTGAGGAATATACACATATTGAGGTGTGAAGGTTTTTATATTTTATATAGTAAATATAAAATTTTATATAGTACTATATAAAATATTGTATTATATTTGTATTACTATATAAATGTAACATTTTATATAGTAAATATAAATTTACATAGTATTCAATGATAAATCATTAAAATACTAAACCAATGGTAAACCAATAATTTTATTTTAAAAATTGGCACAGACTGTTAAAGGGTGTAAGTTTGATATTATTGACTATTTGGAGTTTTCCAGACAGTATACTGGTTTCTGGAAATAGAACAATGAGTAAGATGAGCAACTTAAGCATCTGAATCAAAATGACAAATTATTGACATGTTTCAGAAACTACTATGTGATTTTTTTAAAAGATTTTTTTCTCTGAGCTGGTTAAATTTTTTTTCTATATTACAAAGCTTGTACAAGTTATAAATGTAAGATTGACAATTTTAATAGAAATTACCTGGAAAATAGAATTATAAAATGTAATCAAATATTAGAGATAAATTGTATAAATTTGACTCACTCTTGCTAATTCTTTCCATTTTACTTATTTATATTTCTGCTTTGATTAATAATTTCAGTAATAGTAATTAAAGTTATGGTTTTGATCCATTTTTTGTTTTGCTTATTCATTTCAATTACACAATTTATAATAAATCATAAAGAAAGATGTAAGGCTTAATAATATAATTTTCATAAATTAGGCTCATTTAAGCTCAAAATGTGCAAATGATTTTTGGGCAGGTGCTAATTAATTTCTTGATTATCCACGAGTAGGTTATCCATGTTGTGCCAGGTTTTAAATTTGAACAGTGGTTGAGCTAGGCCTAATTTCCAGAAATATATTTTTTAAAGATTTATTTCTAATTAGGCACACAAGACAGGGGTGGAGGCCAGATGTGCAGGGGCAGGGTGCAGAGGATTCACCAGGACAGAGTAGGGAGCAGAACAGGCAGATCTACTGCAATGCACTGCTAAGGGGAGCAGTGGGAGAGATAGGAGAGGCCTGCTACGCTATGTGGGTTAGTATCCTGGCCAGGGATTTAGCTCATGCCACAGTGTCTGCAGATAGCTTGAGAGTGCTGAAACTTTAACCCCTGTGCCACCAGAAAGGCCCCAATTTCCAGGAATATTAAGAATCTGTACTTCACCAGATAATAAGTTTCTTTGCATATTTGTTATGCAAATACAAAACAGTTACTTTTGTTTATTTACTTATTAATCAAATGTTATTGATTTAACATTCATTAGCAGAAATTATGTAATTTCAGGAGCTTCACACTTTTATATATGTATACACTTCACTCATCTACCCCCAAATTTCTGGTACCATCACACTTACCAAAAAGCTCCCTACCCCTTTCTTTCTCTCCTCCCCTTTCCCTTCCCCTATGGTAACCACTACATTTTTTTTTTTTTAAATAAACAGAGTGAAGACCATTATCTTCTACAATATGAACAATTCCATCAGTAGAATTATTGGTATAATTTCCTTTACTGATGTCATTAGATTCTGCAAATAGAAAACCTATGTTCAAATTCCACTGTCATAATTTCTAGCCATTGAATTTAGGGTAAGTTACCTAACTTCTCTGAGCTTTATTTTTTCTTCTGAAAAGTGGAGTAATAATAACTACCTTATAGCATTGTATTGTATGGATTTAATGAAATATGTAAAGGGTTAGCATCATGTATGTTACTGACTTACTTGGTTTCTATCCCTTTTCAAATAGTTTTGTTGTACTCTCCATACTGAGAAAGCAGCTATCTGGTAAATAAATTCACTTGTAGATGGAAATACAAATTGTTAACATGAGTGCACTAATAATTTGATATTTGATGTATATTAATAGGGAAACTACCACTGCTTTTGGTACTTCAGGAGAAACCAGCTGATAATATTCATCTACATACAACCAACAATCATCTACATAACGACCAGCAATCTTGTTTTGCATGTGAAATATTTTATGACCGCCTGTAAGGGCAGGAATGGACCACAGTGCAGGTTTTCTGATCCAGCAGACCGGGTAAAGGAGGAGTCAGAGTCCTCAGTGGTTTTATGCAGGTCTTTTATTGGGGTTCACCAGGCATATGGCAGGCAGCAAGTCTTCACTCTATCTGGGCTCTCCGGTGTTCTCTGCTCCTCTCTTGGCTTCTCTTTCGGCTTCTGCTGCTGCTGGCTTCCCGGTGACGGTGACGCTGCCCTTAAAGGGCCAGTCTCTCAGCCCAGGTGTACCCACTTCAGGTGCCCACCATCAGGCATGCATTCAGGATCACTGGGTTCCCTCATCTATCCCGATGGCGGGAGGGCAGAAAAGCCTGATACCTTTTACCTTATCCTACACCGCCACTCGATGAAATAGACTTTAGCATTAAAATTTTGTGTGTAATAGGTCAATGCAGAATATTAAAATATCCCTGTAAGGCAGTTGAAGCTTCTAAAATATATGCCTATATTATGATTATAATTATACCAATGAAAGGTAATCACTGAAAATATTTTGGTGTATTATATATATGGTGAGAATTTGATTAGGATATTACATTTTACTAAAAATTGTGTGTTAAGTGGCTGCTGAAGTTCACTTTTAAAAGTAAGCTTATTTTGAAGTATTCATTTTCTTCTTTCTGCTCAAATAAGTAATGTTGGAGTATACCTTTTTTGTATTAAAACTCTATTTGAATTTCTGATTATTTCATTAGGATAATCCTTAGAATTACTGGTAAAAGAGATTGAATCACATTAACATTTGATACATATTACCCCAAAATGCTTTCCAGAAAAGTACCAATTTGTATTCTCATAAGCCCCAATGTAACATTCTTTTATGAGTGCATTGCTTTTTTGAATATACAGTTTGGCTAGCTGTAAGTCAGTTGAGTAGCATGTAGTCTTTTGCTAATTGACTCTTGTCTAATTGATTCAATATAGCACTAATTTAGTGAGACATTGAATAACATTTTAATGAATCATGTGATCTTGCCTAGGGTTTTCAAAAGGATAGCTTTTAGTTTTCAAGTAAAGTTTAAAGTAATATATGGTATTAGTGGTAAATATGCCAATTTGACATAGTCATATTTTGATTTTTGTATATTTTATAAGGTCTCTTTGGTATTAATTTCTATACAATTTTTTTAGTGGAAAATGAGATTCTTCTAATGTGCAATTAAAGTACTTGCACTATTGGCAATATACATTATAGCAAAACTTAAGGGTAAAAATCAGCTCATTTTACTTTGTAGTGAAATTGGAAATAGGAAAAATATGCTAACATGATAATATCTAATGAGGGAAATGTTCCATGCAGATGTCTGTTTTTCTATTAATCTCTAAAATGACTATATGCCTTTATTTATATGAGTAACATCAAATAAAAACATGTTACTCAGAATATACCCACTTACTGAAAAGACAAACTCAATATGAGCTTAGAATTTTAATAAATTCTGTTTTAACAGTGATTTAAATCTTTAGATAATGTCAGATTTGAGATTTCAACAAAGATGTAATGTCTACGTATGCTACTTCTGAGAGTTATTTAGATACTAGATATTTTCTTCTTGTTTAGCTGAATTTTGTGCAGTTTCTAATATGAAAGTGAGAACTGGGTCTTGTATAATGAATCTTGTATGAGACACAGAGAACTGTAATTTTACCAGGTTATTTTTGAAACCTCCATCTAGGCACAATGGCAACCAATTTTATTTATTTATTTTTTTATAGTATGTGGATAAAGGGTTATATGCTTTCAAGGTAACACAAAAGGCATGTGAAAGGAAATAAAAAACAAAATTTTTGTTTTTGCTGTTGTCATTAGGGATTTTCATACTTTCTTCTCATGTTTACTAGTAGTAACAATGCACATTTCATTAAATTATCACAAAGTTAGTAAAATGACAAGGGGAATGTTTGTTGCTATTGCTGTTTGTAGGGTAAGGAAAAAAGTGTCAGGTTTTTCTGCCCTCCCGCCATTACGGTAGATGACAGAACCCTGCGGTCCTGAATGCATGCCTGATGGCGGGCACCTGGAGTAGGGTGCGGGCATAGGTAGATGGGATTCACCTGGGCTAAGACTGGGCTTTTAAGGGCGGCATCACGGGGACACTAGCAGAAGTCGAGAGCAGAGAAGCAGTAGAAGCAGGAGAGCAGAGAAGCAGAGAGAGCGCGAGAAACACCAGGGAGCCCAGAAAGAGTGAGGATTTGCTGGGGGCTGTGGGTACTGCCAGCCTCCCGGCCCCCCAGGACCCCTGCCTGCCATGTGCCTGGTAAATCTAAATAAAAAACCTGCAAAAGCTACTGAGGGTTCCAGGACTCTTCCTTTACCCGGTCTGCTGGATCATAGGAAACCTGCTCTGTGGCCGGTCCTGCCTTACACTGTTCTAACTTTTTGTTCTTTAAATACAAACCCTTTTTTATAGTTATGAGTTATTTCAGAATAGGATTGCTTTAGGGAGATTTATTTTGTTTTAAGGCAGAAAAGGCTACTAACCTAAATTTGGATCTATACCTTCACAGTTGGTAAATATGTTGCTGTTTTAATAGGACAACTACATAGAGTTGCTATGTTTTGACTAGTCACATTTGCTATTGAATGTATGTCAGTGTTGGCACAATTTTGGTGAAAGGTAGGGAGAGACTTATAAAACCTTTTGAATTGGTATTGGTATCCTTCAATCTTGGACCTAAGAAAAAGAAATGATAAAGCCACACTAATATTCATATATATTCATTTGTACTAACCCTATCAGGCTTGATAGTTCTATAAACTTGAATGTACACGATGGAGACAGATGAGTTGTGTCAGAATTAGAAAGATGAAATGGGAAAGACATAGGAAGAGATTAATCTCTAGGCCTTTGGTTTTTAATTTGTAGAATTAACTTCTATTCTTTTTCTCTTAAGTCTTGAACTTCTGATTGTAATTGGAATTAATTTAAATGCAGTTTCCAAAATAATAGAATAAATCATTAAGACTGGGTATCTTGTTTGTTATTGAGTTAATAGATTAGTTCTACATTAGTTATCGTGTCATTTATAAATCTTAATATCTTGTCACTTTTAAATGTGCTTGTAATAAAAAAAAATCCTTGCTTTGGTTTTTCTTTGTTTTTAAGGTTAAGGAGCAAAACTGAACTTCACCATGAAGCTCTCCTAAAATTTTGATTTATCGTTACTTTCTCAAGATTCATTTTGAATTAGATCATGTTCTTCTTGTAAACTTTCATGGAAGGATTTCAAAATGAGTAAGTTGACATCCCAGGGTGTGATATTTTGGGAGGTCCTTGTCTGCAATTGATAGATACTATTATGTTGGCTGCTGTTAATATAGTAGAAATTATTCTTCAAAGTCCAGTTGAAAATCAAGCCCAGTGTCATTTGGTGAGGAGTGGGGAAAAGAAAATATACATAAATAATCAGTTGCAAACCTGGAAGGACTGCTTGCTAGTTTTAGTTTATCTTAACCTACATAAGCATCAGGATCAACTTAATTAAGAAAAAAAGGTAATGTCTCGCTCAGTACTTCAACAAATATACTTTTGTGGATGTGTTAAATTTTTTAAAATGGAATGTGAGAATGGAAGTCAAAGATGTTGGTTGTTGTACAACATAATGCCTACAGTTAACAAACACTTTAAAATATTTTGAGGATAGATCTTATTAAGTGTTCTTACCACATAACAAAAATAAAACCATGAAAGAACATTAGGAAATTTTTGAATATACAGATATGTTTATAATATTTTGGTATTCATATATTCAAGCTCATCAAAATGTATAAAATATATGAAATTTATATATTGATTATATCTCAGTAAAACTAAAAAAAAGTTGATTATATTTTAAAGATGTGTTACAGAGAAGGAAGAGATGAAAAATAAACTGATGAAGTCCCAAAGCATTTAGAATTCTTGATGTAAGAGGTGAATAGAAATGGCCTCGTGATTCCTTGTTTCTGTCTGTTGCCTTCCTGATGAGTACTTGATACTGATGATGACAGTGTTGATGTTCTCTTTGGCATCTAAAGGAATAACAGATACACTGAACAGTTTCTTATTAGAGATCTTTTCTTCCACTGAGGCTACTGATTCATAGGATACAAACTCTTTAGGGGCAATATTCTAGCGAGTAGCAATGTATGAGAGAAGACGCTAAAGAGGACAAAAAGAGACAGCAAAAGAGAGTAGATAAACTAGGGGAGAAAAATGAAGGTTTTTCTCCATTCTGCTGCTCACGAATCAAACATCTGAGTCCTGATCTCTTCCTTTTGCTTTCATCCTGCCTACCATCCTCCAGCTGGTAAAAGTCCTACTCTAATTTTAGTGCTAATTCAGTTCTTGAAGGCTCTTACCCTTTCCATCTGCAGGTATTCCAGAGACAGGTGGTCATTATAACTATCACTGATCTTATTCCTCTTTGTACTGTCAGCAGCATTTGCTGAAAGTTTTATTGGATGATCAAATCTTCTCACTTGGTCAATTCAATTTACAGATATTTTTTCGACGTCACTTTAAACCAATCCGTGTTCTGGAGGTATAATGGTTAATAAAATACAGAGTTTAATTATAACCGATACCTGATTTGCTCTGGTGAAAAAAGATTGAGGGAATAGAGAAAAACAGAGTATGCTATTTTTAGAAAAGGTAATCGAGGAAGTTTTCTGTGAAGGTGATATTTAAACAAAAATCTGAATGAAGTGAGGGAATAAACTATGAGTTTCTGAGCTGTATGTACCTGGGAGCAGCATGAGTCAAGCACAAAGGTTTAGTTACGGCATCTGCATGGATTAGCAAGAAGCAATGTTGGATGGAGGGGTGCCAGTGGTAGGAGATGGTGTTAAGTGTTAGGCAGAGGCAGATGATGAAAGACCTGATAGACCACAGCAAAATCCTTGGATTTTGTTCCACATGTGATGGCAAGTCATCACACTTAGAATGTTAAGTGCAAGAAGTAACTTCACTCTAGGAATATTTTCTGAAATGAAAACAGATCTTCAGGGTAACGGGAGACTTCTTAGGCACTCACCCACTTGCATTTATTTATTTATTTAAAAAGATTTATTTATTTATGCATACAAGAACTGGGGTACTGGCCAGAGGTGTGGGGGTTGAGAGGATTCACCAGAGACAGAGCAGGGAACAGAACAGGCAGATTGACTGAAGTACACTGCTGAGAGGAGCAGCGGGTGAGTCAGGAGAGGTCTGCTGCACCATGTGGGTTGCTCCCTGGCTGGCTGGGGATCAAACCCATGCTTCAGTGGCTGTGGATAGCTTCATAGGTTGCATCTTAACCCCTTGTACCATCAGGGAGGCCCCTCACCCAGTTGCATTTATTAATATCAAATGCTGTGGTAGGATTAGGAGGATGTTGTTCAAGAATAGCTTGTACTGGATGAGACTTCTGAAGGTCTGTTTTACCCTAGGAAGAACACTATGGTACTATTGCTAGAGGGAGCAGCATGGCAGGGGTGGGAGTGGGGAGAGCACTGGCCAAGTTGCAGAAGTAACATCATCTTCCCCAACCCTGTTTCTACACACTGAACATTTCCACTCCCAGTATGCTGTGAACCAGACTTCTGGAACGAGGGACTACTGGGAAGGAGAAATGAGTGGTGGTGCCATTATTGAATGGGGAAAAGAAACTGAAGACACACTAGGTAGACTTCTGGTTTTTGCTCTTGCAGCTTTAGTGCTTTGGATCCAGCTGTCTTCAGAGACAATGGCAGCTGTCTCTTGTTAGCCTGTGCTATTGCTTTATTCTGAACCTTGGTTGATACAAACTTTTCCTTCTTTACTAGTCCTCTTGGGCCCTGCTTGAACTTCCTGCCTCATGAGAGTCTGATTATTCTGCCTCTGTGTATGTGGGTGGCACAAACCCTAGAATGGGCAACGTATTTATTTTTCCCTTAACAATTTGGGATCTCTGGGCATCCCTCAGTTTCTCCCTATATCAGTTTTGGGTCCCTGACTGGGAATGAGCCTCCTAGATGGAATAGGTAACTGTCTTCCTAGAAAGATTTCATTACCTTTCAGAAGACCAGTAGAAGTGAAGTCAGTGGTGCTAATTCAGTAAATATTTTTGTGGGCTTATTATATACCAAACACTGTGCTAGATGCTTTTGCAAATGTTAGACTGTGCAGGCATTTGTCCCCATTTTACAGAGGAGAAAGCTGAAACTCAGAGGTCCTATTGTGTCAAAGCTGTTGTAAATACTTGTTTAATTATGGAGTATTCACATTAAAGTATGCTCTTTGCCTGAATTACTTGGGTAATTGCAACAGTGTGGATCTGAGTATTAACCAAGTTTAATCAGGCAATGTGCAGTTTAATTTCTAAGAATATATTAAAGGGGCAATTGCACACACACATTTTAATTATTTTCTAGAAATTAAAGGGCTATGGTCATTTTAGAAACATTACAAAATTTTCACACACACACTTTATGGCAACTCTTTGCTTCCTTCTTGATGATGACTCAGACCACCTCTTTTTCAATATAATACAGTGGATTCTTGATATTATTATTATTATTATTATATAACTTGTTGCAAAATGAGTTTTCTCTTTGTCCAGTGGTACCAATCACTTGGAATGTCCTAAGATAATTTATTAATTGCAGATGAGTTTGGAAAATTTAACAAATATGTTTGAAAACTCTGTCTAGTAACAGAGGTCATCTGAAGAGCTCAGTTCCGTAGTTCATTGAGTGGCAGTGACTCAAAGTCTTATGTGCTAGCAGCCTATCTGTACGGCATATGACCAAATCTGATCCTTTTTGGCCATAATTCATTTAAAGAAAGTAAACAAAATAAAAATGCTCTCCACTTCCCTGATAACCTCTTTCCTTAGAGCAGATGTAAAAGTATAACTCACCTACATCTCAGCTACTCAAGGAGTATACTTATTTATTTATTTTTTTTTGCAACTCGGTTTCGTTTCCTTTTTTTTTTTTTTTTTAAGATTTATTTATTTATTTATACAAGCACTGGGTATAGTCAGAAGCATGAGAGGGTGAGAGAATTCACCAGAGCCAGAGGGGAGAGCAGAACAGGCAGACCAACGAAATATACTGCTGAGGGGAGCAGTGGGCGGCAGGAGAGGTCTGCGCACCATGTGGGACCCTCGCCCGTTGGCCAGGGATCGTCGAACTGGCACTGCAGAGGCTGTGGGCAGCTTCACAACCCAGCGCTCAACCGCTGCGCCACCAGGGAGGCCCTTTGTGACTTGCTTTCCATTTTGAATCCCTCCCTCTCCTGCCCAAGTGGCACAGGTTTTAAAGTTAATTAGGGGTCTCTTACCTTTTCCTGGTGATCTACAAATTCTTCAGTGAGGGTGGTGGATCCTACTAGACATTTTCATCTTTCCATTGTTGTGGCATCATGAGAAATGTTCATCTTTCATCTTTTTTTATGAAGTTAATTGGTCATCACAGGCTGCTTTGAATTCATTCATCCCTCATTTCCATTCTCCCATAAGGTTTTAGCTGGTAAAACAACTTTCTCTGCAACTTCCGTGCTGTTGATTACTTTGTAATCTTTCTGTGGTACTCAAATTACACTAAGATTTAGACAATTTCCTGAGATTCTCACATATTTGACTGGAAAGTTCTATGAGGGTAATACTTTGCTTGCCCCTCATATTATCCACCAAGTTCTGTGGGCTCTTCCTGCTTCCCTGAGAAAGGGAATTTCTGTGTTTTGGAAATGGGGCACAGATTGCCTCTGTTCTCTTGTAAAAACAATGTTTAAAATATCTATTGTTCTTTTGACTTTTCTTTTTCCCATTGCAGAGAATTTTCATCAACAGTGAGGAAGTCTTATTTTGTTTTCTTTGTTTTAAAGGTGTTCTAAATTTGTTTCCTATGCTAGTTGTTGCAAATTCGTGAGCTGCATTTGACCTGAAGAAGTACTTCTTGCTTGGGCAGTATTTAAGAACTGGAAAAATTCACATAAAATTCTGAATTTCTGTTCTTCTCCACATTTGATTCTCTTTTATTTTATTCACCTGTCTGACTTTGTTAAGCATATATCCAGAGTCCTTTCCGTTATTTTCAATGCCCAGAATTTTGAAATTCATAGGTCAAGAGAAAGATGGTTGTTTTTGCTTTTTGCTGTTACTGTTTTCCCTAAGTCAGGGTGAACCTATATGCTGCTTGAAGAAGAATCTAAAATAATAGGGAGAAAAATGACTAATATTTAAAAAATGTTATGCCACTACAAGATATCAGAATTTCATTTTACTAATT